TTGGCCAATCTTTCTTTTGCTTGTTGTACGAATCCAGCGGGCGTTCCTTGGCAACGACCTCTCCTTTTTTTGCCATGACCTCACTGTCAGACGTGGGGGACATGAAAAAATCCTTGCGCGGTGTTTCCTCCTTTGGCTTGCTGGTCAGCGCCTGCTCCGCTTTCTTTACTGCGTCGCTAGTTGCAGAGGGCTTGGCAACGTTCAAAGGCTTTGGTGCAGCAGAAGAGCCCTGATACTGCTTCTGCTGAGTTTGGCCATTGGCAGGGCGAGATTGCGGATTCTGAGTGCCAGAGCCCTTGGTATAACTGTTGCTAGTCTGAAGGGGTGGGCGCTGCTGTTGAGCTGCAGGACTTTCCCCCCCCCCCCCCGGCTGCGCCCACCTCCGCTCTGTTCAGCTTGCTTTTTCTTCATCCCGGCAAGTTGCGCATTTGGGTTCAGGCATAGCGAGCTGAGGGCAACGGTTTTTGTGCGAGTTCACCAAGTACAGCAGCCGCCAGTCATGTCGTGGACGCAGGTTGACTTCAGCTGTGTGAGATATTCGCCGGTGGAGGGCGCCCACTATTTCTTCGACTCTGCCTATCCGACGTCGATTCAGTTCCTGCTATCTGGGCGCTGGGAGCCATGGGATGTAGGCTGGGTTAGGTAGTATGTCTTGCACTCCACCACCCATGGCAGTCTCTCTGCTGTGTTTTCCGTCTTGGGACTGATCTTGCGGTATAGTAAAGCTCAAGACCCGGATATCAGACGCCTAGCTGAAGAAGCCGAGGCGCGACTCATCCAAGATCCCAACTCCAAGTATACACCATGGCCAGAACCACCGCCTCCAGGACCGCCTCCAGCCCCGATTAATGCACCTGTATCCCTGCAAGCCGATAATAGTGCTCCTCCGAACAGCACTCATACACACATGCCCACGCCTTCCCCAGAGTTCGACCTGGCTGTAGACCCTGCACTCCAGCCGCCACAGGGAGGATATGGTGCTGCGCCAGTCAATGGCCCAAACATGCCATACTCATCACCGTACGGCCAACAAGAACGACAACATTCGGCGGGGCCAACTAGACAGGAAGCGCCCCCAGGACCGAGGGCGCCAATCCAGAGCGGTCCTCCAGACATCCCAAGCCCCAACCATCACAGCATGCGGATCCCAGCACACAACCACGTGCAGCCCTCTCAACGCCCTCCTCCACAGCCCGCTCCATCCGTCGACGCCATTCTCTCACGAACCCGCGAGACCAAGATCCTCCTCTCCATCGACGGCGACGGCATCAGAGGCCTGTCCGCCCTGCTAGTCATCGAATCGCTCGTCAACGCCATATGCGTCAAAGTCGGGCAACGGCTGGACCCGCACCAGATCTTCGACCTCACGGGCGGTACTTCGCTGGGCGGTGTCATTGCCATTCTCCTCTGTCGGCTCCGCATGCAGGCATACCGCGCGCGCGAAGCGTATAAACGAATTGCCAAAGAGGTGTTTGCGAATAAGCGCGAATTCTTCATGTATTTGGATTCAGGGCAGGCGCCTAGGTCTGGTGGTAGTAGTAGTAGTGAGGCGCTGGAGAAGGAGATTAGAGCGGTGGTTAAGCAAGAGCTAGGGAATGAGGATGAGCTACTCTTGGATGGACGGGAGGATTCTGGAGATGTGTATGTTTTCCCAATTCCACCTCTTTTCGAAACATACTTTCCCAATCCCCGATCCATCTTCCTTCACAATCCAACTTCTAACACAACCCCCTAGTTTCGTAATCTCCACCCAAATCGAACACAACACCAACAAACCCGCCCTTCTCCGCTCCTACCAAACCCGCCGCATCACCGGCCCAGACCTCTCCTCCACCCCCCTCCCCATCACAACCGCCCTCCTCGCCACCGTCCGCGCACCATCCTACACCTCACCCACCACCACCACCACCACCACCAACCGCACAAACATCGTCCTATCGCCCGGCCTCGCAGACCACGGCACCGCAAAGAACAACCCCGTCCGCGACATCCTTTACGAATGCCGCAAGCGATTTCGCTACGCAAACGACATGATGATCATTGTATCAATCGGATGCGGTGACGTATCTCCCACCTCCCCATCCTCTCCCCCCCTTCCCCCCTCCCTCCCCCACACCCTCCGCGAACGCACCCACTCCGCCACCACCCAAGCGCAAAAATTCTCCACCGAAAACGCAGCGCTCATTCAGCGCGGCTGGATGCGCTATTTTCGCTTCAACGTTGATGCTATGGCTGATGTGCCGCTGGCCGAGTGGGAGCATGAGGAGCGGGTGCGTGAGGTGACGAGTGCGTATTTGGGGGGAAGCGAGGTCGGGGCGCGGTTTTGGGGGTGTGTGGAGGCTGTGGCGGGGGTTTTGGGGGGCGAGGTAGGGGGGAGGTAGGATGGATTGGAGGGAATGGGTAATCGAGTGCGAATGAAGTTGGGCTGGGAGATGGGATTTGGGTTGGAGGGAATGGGTAATCGAGTGCGAATGAAGTTGGGCTGGGAGATGGGATTTGGGTTGGAGGGATTCCTCTGCAGAAATCGAAATCGGTTGGGGAAATTCGTCTTGTTCTTCAATCCTAGACCCCCTTGGAATAAAAAGTTCAACCCGCAATCTCCCCTTCCAAAACAGCACCCCCGGACTTGTGCAGGATGTACCGTCTATGCTACATGTCGCTTGGGAATAGCAGAAGGCGAAGGCGAAGGCGAAGGCGAAGGCGAAGGCGAAGGCGAAGGCGAAGGCGAAGGCGAAGGCGAAAGCGAAAAGAAGAGAGAAGCAAGCGGGGGGAGGGCGAGGGAGGGGCGGGGTCTAGTAAGAGCCTGCAATATATGTGTGACCAAACCGTAGCGAATAAAACTTGAACAGGTACAGTACAACTTTATACACTATACCACATGACGTTATCCCATGTTAACTATTCCATCATACAAGGATGATGTAGAAGTGTAGCGTACATGTCTAGTACGAAATGTACTATTCCGTTCGTTCAGGCGTGGGACTTGTATTGTGTGTTTTGTAATTGTGTTTGTGTTTGTGTGTACATGTATATTGTTCATGTCTGTTTGTGTGGTCAGGTTTGTAGGGGGGTCCATGTTTATACTTTCTCCGTCTTTGCATCTTCAGTCCTGCGTCTCCGTGCCTGCCCTCTCCACTTTCCTTCTTCTCCGACCAAGATTACATTTTCGACAGTCACTTTGAGTAGTTTTTTCCTGTCATGGGGGGGGATTGGAAAGGAACTTGAGTGTGTATTTATACATGTGTGCATAATGGATGGACTGGATCGGTGTTGATGGAGTGTATTGTGGATGTCATTGTTCCATCTGGTAGTGCTGGTTATGGTCGTCAATCATCATCGTCTTCATCTTCATAGCTCTCATAATCATCGTAGTCGTCGTCGTCAACTCATCCTCATCCTTGGCATCAACTCATAATCATCCTCGTCAACCCCAACCCCCCAAACCCTAAACATCAGCAACAAAATGCAACCCGCCCGCCCGATCCCGAAACAACATACCCGGCTGATCCCCCGGACCCTGTACCGTCCTCTTAACAAGCGTCCAGTCTCCCTCCCTGCCCTCGTCGTACTGCTCAATCGGGCCTCCATCGCCAGCGCCAGCATCAGCATACCCCTCCCGCTCCGCCTTGATGAACTCGCTGAAGCGGCTAAACTTGACGCTGCCGTCGCTGTCACGAACGGGCAGGGGCTTCAGTGGGTCGGCGGGGACTTGGGCGGCGAGCGGGGACTCGAGTGTGTTCTTGCGCGGCGTGCCGTAGCCGTCTGGGAGGCCGAGGCGCGAGTTGATGCAGCTGATGGTGCTGGTGCGAGGGGAGGTTGAGGAGGCGGTGCTGGTGCTTGCGCGGGGGCTGAAGGGGAGGGCCATGCGGGTGGTGGCGTCGCGCATAAAGGCTAGGGTCTCTTGGTCGATGCTGGTGGGGCGGGGAGGGCGAGGGGGAGGAGGGCCCTTGGGCTTGGTGAAGGGCACTGTGGCAGGGTGTTTGGGGAGAGGTGAGTGGGGGGGTTGTTGGAGAGCCATTGGGCGCGAGATGGAGATGGTGCGGCCTTTGGAGGTGGTAATGAAGGAGGAGCGAGAGCCGCGGGGGGTGGGAACAGGGGCGGGAATGGGTCGAGGCAGCTCTGGCTCTGTTGGAGTTGGTGAGACAGAGATCTGGGGTGATAGTGGGCGCGGAGGTGACTGCGACCCGTAGTTGGTGTTGCGGAAGAACCGCGAGCCTGGGATATACTGTTAGCAAACGACACTCCAACGGACTAGCAATACTGTCTTACTCTTGAGCTTAAGAGCTGTCAGGCTAGAGCGTGACTTGCTCTTTTCTGGCTCTACCTCTGGCAGGTTCAGTGCCGGTTTGCTGCTCCTCACGGGATCCAGAGGAGCTGTGGGTAAGGCAAAAGCCCCCACAGTATTGTCTTCAAAAGAAGTAGTATCAGCATAATGATCGTGAAACGTCTCTCGTCCACTCGGGACGCTTACAGCTGCGTCGCTCCCAGGCGACCCAGCCGGTGACATGTCAAACTTGTCATCCTCGTAGAGGAAAAAGAACTACACTGACCAACACGAGTCCCCTCACCATCCCAACAAGGAAAGCAAAAAGGCAAGTAAAAGTTTGACCTCACCCTTGCTTTTGGCATTCTGGTCTTGAATGCCAGCGTCGAAGCCAAAGTCAAAGTCGAAGCCGCCGTTGTCGTCAGCCGCGCTTGCGATTGCAGCCTTCTCGTCTTGGCTGGGTCCATCTCTGAAGAACCGCGAAGCTATCTGCGCGTCAGTATTCAAGTCACGACGATAGGCTTTCAGGTCGCGACTAGTTGTACTTACCTTTGTTCTTGAGGCTTTTTTTCATCTTGGATGGACGTGAGACAGTGTGAACAGTGACTGTGCAATGCGTATCGCTTGACCAAAAAGCTGCAATTCTCTCGCCTTGGTGTTGTGGAAACAGAGCAGGACGAGGAGATTGTTTGGCTCATGGGCAGATTTTTGCGCGCGCCAAGTGCTGTAGACAAGTGATGGTGAGGGTGAATGCGAGAGCACTATGCCAAGATCACGACGACGATGGCGCATCTTGCTCAATGTGATCCTAGCGGGCGCAGCCAATCAATTAGCGATGCTTTGTGATCTCAGTTGCTCGAATACTTGGAGAAGGAAATTTATAGGTTTGTAGCGATGACGTCGAACCACGTGGTGGAAGTCGCCCGATCAATTGACAGCTGGGAAGCGACGAGGACATGTCGATCACACAAAGGTATAATGTTGCCTAAGAGCTAGTCATTGTACAGAGCTCTGAGATCAACCGACAAAGCTACGTCGGGACTGCTGGCATTCACTGAAGAGGGCAAGGAGGCGAAGAGTGTTGGACATGAATACTCCGCGCTGTCCCCAAAAGGAAGGAGCGCGGAGCCGAGCATCATGCCCTTATATTTTTCTTGATTTTTAAATATACTGGGTGGTAGTGTTGATCGTATCGGATCGTGCCAGGTTCCAGAATATGGATGGCGAAGTTGTCAGAGAGTCCAGTGTCCTTCTAGAGCCGACCAGAATATCTCAAGAAATGTGGGAAAAAGTACCGACAAGAACCAAATCCAATACCTGAGCCCAGGCTTCCTTCAGCTCTTTCCATGAACCTTCCCATGTGGTATCGTGAACCGTGTTGAAGATGAGCCCAAACGCTCCGCAGTCGCAACACTACCGCCTAAGACCGGACCGGGCCCAACAGGCCAGTCAATGATTGTGAATACGCCAGAAACGCCATGAGAGACAAAGAAGTGACAGTGTGGTCATGTGAGACGACTACATGAACAACCATGAAGAGCCATATGAACAAAAAAGAAAGGAAGATGTTGAGGACAGGTGAACAATAAAAAAAAATTCGCAGGCTATGCAGCAATCGCAGAGATATAACGCTAAGATTAACGAACAGTAGACGTGTCGCCAGTCATCTTGAGGTTGAGCATTCGCTTCAAGTCTTGCTCCAAAGCTGAAGTGTTTGCAGGTGTAGAAAGCTTGGCCGGTGGCGGGACAGCAGCAGCAGATGGTGCAGAAGAAGAGTGCTGCTTTGCTGAAACTGAAGCAGGAACAAAAGCCATCATCGACGTGGTGGGTTTGGGCACATTGACTGGCTGCGTGTTACCAAAGGCTTTTCCTCCCCGATGGCCTGCACCATTCATGTTGCCCCTTGGCACATGAGCGTTTCGAGGCTGTTGGGGCTGTCGACCAGGTGTCCTCCGGTTGTGTGGGTTTTGTTGGTAAGGCGGGCTGAATGGTGCAGGACCGTGACGAGGATTCGAGTTCCCCGATTTGCCAGGCCCAGCCATGGCAGACCCAGGATGGTCGCGAGAAAATGTATGAGGATCCATCGTATGAGCCGGAACAATGGCAGGGAAGTCTTCGAACATGCCCTCTTTCACGGCGGCTGGTTCGGCAGTGATTTCTGTGCGGAGCCCGGAGTTGCGCTTTGCAGAGTCGTTCCGGGCAGCTTTGAACATTGGAGAGAGGTTCTTGTTGCCATAGAAGAATTCAGGACCCTCTTGCTGTACTGGCTGGGGTGTGGTAGGGCCTGATGCACTCCTCACGGCAGGCCGACCATCATGGAATGGCGAGGGAGTCTGATTAGGCTGAGCATCTGGGTCTAGCTGTGCATTTGGTCTAGGCGGTGTAGCAGCATTCGGCTTCTTCTGTGACATGGAGAGTCTGTTGAGCAAATCTTGCATAATGTCGTTTCCGCCCGTTTGAGGAGATGAATCTGTGACCTGGGGTACTTTCTGGGGGTCGGTAACGGCTCGATGTGCTGTTGGAAAGGCTGCTGCAGGAGGAGACATGTGCGCATTCCGGCCCTCGCCATCCAGCTCGAATGGAAATATACCACTGGCCGAATTGGACGAATCGTGCTGGTGGTGTGGAGGTCTCGGTGGAAGCATCTGGCCAAAGAAATGGGTGGAAGCGGGACTGCCATGGAAATTCTTGGCCCGCTCAGCCTTATCGGCCTTGAAAAGCATATCTAGTGGGGAGTCTTCATTCCGTGTGGGTATGTGGATCGGTGCGCGAGAGGGAGAATCCGGAGACAGGCTTGGAGAATTGGCCGAATCAGAGCTGTCTTCTGGAGGAGGCGTCGGGGGGCCTGGCCTGGACTTTGCAGGGACTGAACGAGAAAGAAATTTGGGAATAGGCAGGGCCGAGGGTGCAGGAGAGGCATGGAAGGTAGGTCCTGCATATGCGGCCTGGATCTTGGCTGGAGTGGTCGAGGGGTTGCATGGGGCCTGTTCACCGTCGGTAGAGGGGCCTTGGGCGCCACTGGGGGAGAAGACGCGATCTATGGATGGCTGGGACTGTGTATGTTTCTTTGTATTGCGTGGTCGCGTGGCCATGTGTGCCTCCTCGCTTGGAAAGACGGCGCTTTCGGCGAGAGCGGGGTTTGCGCCTGTTCCGACTTTGCCTGGGGATACGCCTACCCCGTTGAACTGGTGGTTGAAGCCATTCTGCGCGCGGTTTCCGCGTGGTTTCCGCTGCGAGTTGCGCCCAACACTGGCAGGCGGCGCCTGGGCTGGGCTCTGGGGGGGTTGCTGCTTGCCCCGACGCGGCCGTGGAGAGGCCGTGCTCTGTACCGTCGACGACATGTATGATGAGATTTGGCGATTTCCTATCAGGCTCTGTATAGGCGACAAGGGGTTTGGGGGGTTATCTGGATGGGCGCAGACGGACAGTCCTTGGACGAGAGGTGGGTATGGAGTGGGTCGTGGCTCGGAATGACGGAAGGGTGTGTGTTGTTGTTGTTGTTGTCTGGGATTGGCAAAGTGCAGTTGTTGAAGTGTGTGAGGTGGAAGCGGTCATATCCAGGGTGGAGGGGCAGGGACAGGCACGCGCCGATTGTTCTATGTGGGAGGCGAGTGGGTGAAGGGGGGCGATGGTTGTCGTGGATAAAGTAAGAAGGAGAGAGAGAGGGATTCGGTCGCATCGAGGGTGAGAAGTGGGCGATGGACGTGGCTAACGGTAGCCGGCCAGTTGAGACAAAGCAAGGTTGGGCAGAGCCAGCCTTGGCAGTTAGCGGAGCCTGCCTGGAACCATGGCCGACCTTGTACTGTGTACGCCGTACCATATACTATTGTAGGCAGCCACCGATACCGATGGCCGACCAGACATAGCTCAAGGGCTACCGGTACTGTGACTGTGTGAAAGCGACCATCCATCCTCACCAAAGCCGCCACCACCCGTCCCAGCCACCTGCAGACCTGGACACGTACTTGCGCCATACTACTCTCCCCAGCTTGCTGTCCTCAATCTGAGCCCTCAACCGCCGCGCCGTTTGCCTCCCCTCCCAGCAGCTTCCACTTACCTCCCCGCACCCGCACCCGCACAACCCCACTACAACAAACTACTCCTTCATCATCACATCAACATGGCCGACGTGGACATGGCCGATGCGCCCCCCGCGAAGACCAAGACGGCCAAGGCCAGCACCAGCGCAGAGGGCGAGAAGAAGCGTTTCGAGGTCAAGAAGGTGGAACTGTCCTCTCCAGAATCGGGTGTGACCTGGCTAACATGGTCCAGTGGAACGCCGTAGCGCTGTGGGCGTGGGACATTGTCGTCGACAACTGCGCCATCTGTCGAAATCACATCATGGACCTCTGCATCGAATGCCAGGCCAACCAAGCATCGGCCACCAGCGAAGAGTGCACTGTGGCTTGGGGCATCTGCAATGTAGGCCGACTCCACACGTTGCCATACTCTCTTTGGGTCCCTCTAGCTAAACGATGCACAGCACGCCTTCCACTTCCACTGCATCTCGCGTTGGCTCAAGACCCGCCAGGTCTGCCCGCTCGACAACCGAGACTGGGAGTTCCAAAAGTACGGCCGATAAGCGCGTCCTACACATGGTCACCATGCACAGATGATAGCGAGGACACTTTCGGTCTCTTTTCATTGGGTCGTCTGGCGTTCAGTCACCTGCACAAAAGGAGTATGGGACAGAGAAGTCGTAGCATAGACAAAGTCTTTCATCATCAAAGATAGGCTCATGTTCAGACCAGAGGTCGTGTCTTGTGGTCCGCGTGAAAGTCCTAGCTACCAGCTTGCCCTCACCCTGCCCCGACTTTCTAACCCACTTTCTGTCCGTCCACGTCGACATTGTAGCCGGATGAGGTGGTGTTGTGTGCTGGCAGCCAGCCCTCGGGATTCTTGTTGTAGAAAGGCCACGGTGGAACGACGACGGCGAAGGTGAGCGCAGTGCCGGCAAGGCCGATGTAGAGTGCAAGACGAATGTCCTGGGTAAAGTAGCCGATCACAAAGGCGAGGATCTATCGTGAATGAGTATTCAATGGCAACATCAGCCAGAAGAGTGCGCCTTGCTACTTACACCAGCTGCCCCCAGAAGCACCGTGGTCAGCATCTCAGCCAGTCTCTGGCCCTCAAAGTCCTGGGCGCGTTAGTGACAATCTACGGCTGCTTCCCTAGCCGTCTTGGGAACATCATACAATCTGCGCCTCCACCGCCTCGCGCAATTGTTCAAGGAGAGCTTCCGACATGGTGTTCTTGATGGGCTGATGGTGTGTCTTGCTCCACTCTACTTGATGGCGGACGCTGGCTGTCAATCTTCCAAGGGGTGAGGTAGGTGGGAACGCTGAATTGGCTGGATGGGACGGTTTCTTAGTCGGTCGGGCTGGGCTCACACTACTCTCTTACGTACAGCACGACCAAGGTTGGGCGCTGTTGTGTTGAATGGGAATGAGGCCACTTTGGTGCTTTTGCTTTGGTGCTGGGGCTCCTTCTGGTGACGTTGCTCGTTAGGGCCAGTGTGTTCTGTTCACAACGGGGATGTGCACTGCGCGGCGGCGGCTGACAGGGATGCAAGAGCCGCACAGCCAAGAAGATCGGGCCTTTGCCAGGTTAGAGGGCAGACCGAGAGCAATCATAGGGCAGCACCATCCAAAACCTCAGAGCCAAAAGAATAAGATTTTGTTTCTTGTTGACCTACTCTAGGGCCGCGGATACAACGGACAAGTCGCGACGTCCTCCCAGTTTCATTTGCCCCCCCAAGGCTCGATCACTCAAGTTCTCACCGTCCGTGTTCTGGACGGTCGTCACATGCAAGCCCTGAACCTGGCCAATCAGCTGTCGCAGGCCCCCGTCGTGAAAGAGAAAAAGCTTGAGCCGACGAGCGACCCACTTCCGCCGCCCTTTACTTAACACACCCGCTCCCACAGCAACACACTCTGACCTCCTCCTCCACCACCCACACCCGTCCTCCTGGACTACAACTCAACAACCGCTCCCCATCGCAACCACAACTCAAACAAAGGAAAAGAGACAATACTGCACCCGTCCAATCACCATACCGTCGATATCGACATCGACGAGTCCAAACCTCCTCGGAAGCAGCCCCCGCTGTCTTGGCGAGAAATCCCGTACAACCAACTGTGCCAACTGCGGACTTCGTCATCCACAACGCACTACTGATCAATCAAAGGGGTCACCGTCTCGGTCGCCAATCCCTTCATCAAGCTCACCGACGCTTTGGCGTCCATTGACATCAACACCATCAAGTTGGCGGGACTCTACCTTCACAAGTTTTCCGCAATCCGTCCCCTTCTTGGCCCAAAGGCGTGGGTCTACGGAGGCGACTACAAGAAGCCTCCTTAACTGGGCTTAAAGCCACTCATACACATTCGCTACTACCACTGCTACCACTGTCTCCACGAAATCCTTCCCTGCCCGGAGAGGGTCTGGAAGTCTGGCTACCGGACTTAACCTTCCAACGGCTGAGTGTAGGGGAGGCCCCTACGCGAAGCCCCTCGTCAAGTTGAGCGTGCCTTAGAGGTGAGCGCTCACAAGCGACTCGCCCTTTCCTGTGGTTCTTGTGCTGCCGCAAGAAGACACTGAGACCGATCCAACAAGCTGGCTTGATTCCAACACTTCGACCAACGCAAAGGATTGCCTTCTGAGCTGCCAAGATGACGGACACTCCGAGATCCGACAAGTCCCAGACGAGATTCAGCACTCCGGTATCTGAACTCGACGACCACCGCAGACAGCCTGCAAACATGCCCCTGGCAGACCCTGGGTCTCCAGCACGATCGCGCCGACCTACTTTCGCAAGCGTGCATGGCCAAGATCGACCCACTCTTCTCCTTCAAGTCAACGAAGCCCTCGAGGCAGACATCACCCGACGCGACTTTGAAAACGCCGTTGTCGACGACGATACCTATCTAGCGCCGGAGGCCTATGGACGACGTGGCTCCCAAGCTCATAGTCCACACCATGTTCGCCGCGATACGTTCCGTCGCCCGCGCGATCCCGCTGTGGAACGCCTGTCTAAGAGCAGGGCTTCCTCTACCAGTTCGCGCTCGGTATCTCCGCCCAATTCGGTAGATGCGTTCGCGGGGCCTCGTCGTCGCGACCGTGCCAACACGCTTCAGAGCGTCGCGGGATCAGACGTCGAGCTCGGACTACACAGGACGCATTCCCGAAACACGGCACGCCGCCCCACGATTAGCGACGAGCGACCGGAGGAGTTGCAGAACGCTGATGTCACCTCCGCGCACAGCTCTGCCGAAGAGGACGTTTGCTTCCCTGTGTCAGAAGATCCCGGAAAGACCACAAGGTTTGATTACGAGGAGCTAGAGGAATTCGTCGCCGAGGCACAGGCAAAGACGCCCATCGGCCAGCCCCTGCGTCACAAGGCCAGCGTTGCCTCTCGTCTCTCCTCGAAGCCCAAGGTCTTTTCAGACCTTCGCCCAAAGTCGAGCCAGTCGACAACGCCCAAGAACGATGCTGAGACTGCGACTCTTAAGAATGTGGATCCTTCTATTCAGGAGAAGCTTGCGCAAGAAGGGTTGTCGCACATGTTTACCGAGAAGCCTGTAGAATCGGTAGCCAATCGCTGGACCTTCTTCTCATCCGAATTAGACGACACCATTCATGCTGCTGAGCTGGGTGGCCTCTTGATGCCTGGCGAACGCTTCCGTGACATCTTCGAGACGCCACCAGACAGCGGTGTCTGGTGGCTGGACATGGTCAACCCAACAGAAGAGGAGGTCTTCGCCATCTGCAAGGCGTTTGGAGTGCATCCTCTTACGCGAGAGGACATTGTCATCCAGGAACCCCGCGAGAAGGTTGAGCTGTTCCACCAGTACTACTTCGTCTCCTTCCGCTCCTTTTACCAAGCCGACAAAGAATCTGAAGACTACCTCGAGCCTGTGAACTTTTACGCGGTCGTCTTCAAGGAGGGCCTGTTGACCTTTACCTTCTGCGAGAGCCCTCATACGCTGAACGTTCGTAAGCGTATCAGCCGCCTTCGAGACTATATCAACCTCAACGCCGATTGGATCTGTTACGCTCTCATTGATGACATTGTCGACAGCTTCGCTCCCGTCATTCGCGGCATCGAAGATGAGGCCGAAGCAATCGAGGATTCGGTCTTTACTGCTCGCATCGAAGACTCCCGTGCCATTTTACGCTCCGTCGGCGACTGTCGCAAGCGCGTCATGCAATTGCTCCGTCTTTTGGGCGGCAAAGCCGACGTCATCAAGGGCTTCGCCAAACGCTGCAACGAGTCTTACAGCGTCGCTCCCCGCGGCGACGTCGGTCTTTATCTTAGCGATATCCAGGATCACGTCGTCACCATGATGTCCAACCTGGCTCATTTTGAAAAGATGCTGGGCCGTGCGCATTCCAATTACCTGGCGCAAATCTCGGTCGATCAGGTGATGCAGGGCAATGCTAGCAACGAGACGCTGCAAAAGGTCACGGTTATTGCTACGATTCTGGTGCCGCTCAATCTGATTTGCGGTCTGTTCGGGATGAATGTACGGGTCCCCGGTCAGGATGGCAGCATCGCTTGGTTCTTTGGCATCTTGGGTGTCATTTGTCTCTTTGTGGCCACTTGTCTGGCGGTTGCGAAGAGGATGAGGTACATTTAAGCCAGCCACTTCTCGACTTTTCTTCTTTTCTTTCGTGGCTTCACACGATTACAGTCCTTACCCACCTCTTCTTGTCCGGTTCATCTACTTGTTTTGTTGCCCTGTTCCTCCTGTTTCTTTTCTCTTGTTTTTCTCGTTTCCTCATCTACACTCATCCTGCGTCTAGCGTAGGTGTTGGTGTTGGTGTCGCCTAATGAACGGTGCGAGGCTTATGAGGTGATGACGAAGGCAATGTCGTAGAGGGTTGTGGTAAACACGAGTCTCTGGAATATATACAAAGTCTAGCGTTGATGTTTGTCTTATAGTCTGCATACTTGGTACAAGAGAAAGAAATAGAAAGAAAATGTTGTTGTTGCGTATGTCTATCATCTGCAGCTTTGTTCATGGTGCTATGATGTGAAGGGATATGATGCCTCCCATATACCTACAGACCCTTCTGGACCTACCTGAGTATGCAACGCTAGCTCATGCATGCAGACAGTGTACCCAAAGGGAGCGGGTGCGATGACTTCATCAGCTGTCTAGGCTGGGCGGAGACATGACGCTGAAGTGGTGTGTGTGTGTGTGTGTGTGTGTGTGTATTGCATTGGGGAGATTTAGGAGTCACAGCTAGAGTAGAGCAGGTAGCAGAACCCTTACCTGCTAAGTCATTTAATTTCGGGCCGCGCGCTGCTTACTTGGACTGAGAAATATACTAGATGCTATGTTACGCTGCGGTACCGCTCGCATGGATCTGTTGTGTATAGAAGGAGGGTGGAGGATATCAAAGGAGTAATGGCAACAATAACGTAGTATGGGTGAAAGCTGGCGGGCAAGCTAAGCGAACCGGCTGAGGTTCGTTGGCGTTTAATCTTATCGCTGTGGTGTTGTCTTCTGTGAACTGTATCGCTGTGGTGTTATCTTCTGTGAGGTGTTCTGTATGTACCTAGCTAATGCTAGGAATCAGGATGATATTAGTACGTACACAAAGTTGGTTATAGAGTGCATGCTTTAGTACGCTGTAAATATGCGTTTCTTGTATATTACAGTATATTAAGGCGGTAGCTAGCTATAGTATAGCATGGAAGTCATGGAAGTTATGGCTTCATTCAAGAGCTCGCTGTGCTTTGAATATCAGCGAGATTGGAGTTCAAAGCGTGAGACTGGTGATTAGAGGAGAACATGCCAACAAAAAGTCTGCTGTGAGCCTATCACCGTTGTGAATGCTGGGGTTGCGCCGCTAGGTTGTCAACGTCACGTTGCGTTTGTGGAACGTTTCAAGGTTGTGGCGCATTTGATGCTCGCAGTCATTTCGGAAAGGGTAGGCGGTAAGACTAGCTCTTTCCGAACGACCGCCTCCCCCGGTCTAGGCCGAGTGAACGCTACTGGCCCTCGGCGTCACCAGCCCTCTAAAACACCCTTCACCCATCCGCTCCCTCTCACATACATAATCCTCGCCTGTTCTCGCTACCCGCACCAACACGCTCTCTACCACATACCACTTCAGCCCCGCCACGAAGTACCTTCGCTCTCAACCTCTCGCTCAAGAACACAACCGCAACCAGACGCCCAACACATCCGTTTCGGAACGAAGGGGCAATATGGACGCTGCACAGAGGATACTCATGAACGAGTTCAAAGAGTTGAACAAGGAGAAGTGGACGAATATCGAGGTAAGCGCCGAACATCGGCTTCGAGAAGTGGTCACAGACGCCAGTGGCAACTCAGCAGAGCACCGAGCTAACCGCCGCACAGCTCATCAACGAGAATGTATTCGAATGGAGTGTTGCACTTATTGTACTCAACGAGGACTCCATGTACTACGGCGGCTACTTCAAGGCGAAAATGACGTTTCCTAGGAACTACCCTCATAGCCCACCAGGTATGTCTCAGATGAGGGGTTGGCGTGACCTCGGCTTGCGGAGCATGCGCCTGAACAGGTGTCGCAGGAACAGTGGCTGACGAGGACACAGACTTCAAGTTCGTTCGCCCCCTGTATCACCCCAACATCTACCCCGACGGTCGCCTGTGCATCTCGATCCTGCATCCGCCCGGCGATGACGCCATGTCTGGCGAAACCGCAGCAGAGCGCTGGTCACCTGTACAACGTGTTGAGACGGTACTCATATCCATTCTATCCCTCCTTGATGACGCCGAAGTCTCATCACCCGCCAATGTCGACGCTGGAGTGATGCTCCGTAACAACCCAGCCGAGTACCGTGAGATGGTGAACAAGGACCTGGAATTATCCAAAAAGGACATACCTGCAGATTTCGTCATGCCGACACACGAGACGGCATGGAGGAAGAAGGAGGACGAAGGCGACTTTGACATGAGCTGGGAAGACAGCGACGTCGAGAGCTTTGGCGGCAGTGATAGCGATATTGACAGCGACCTAGAAGTGGACTCTGATTCCGACGGCGCAGATGACGAGGAAGCCGAGGCTGACGATGACAAGGATGATCAATGAGTGATCGATATCAGACACAAGGCGCCCATGTCCACGACATGCAGGCTCTCAGCTGTAACCGGAGGACTCGGGTCACGTTGTCCTTCATCTTTCTATTCCTGTCACACTGAAGCATTGGGTGATTCCATGCCCTATCCCCCTCGTCACCTGCCTGTCCCACGAGGCACGAAAGACACTCCCCTCCCCTCCCCACACACTCTTCCCTTTTCCGTCATTCTTTCATGCTTTTCCCCCATCAGCGAGGGCGTTTGGGTTATCGTGCAACTTGTTCTGCCCAGGGAGTTCTGTTTTTTTTTCCATCGGGGACACGAAGGATCTAATCACGTGTGTGTATGTTTTTCTTTTTTTTCTTTTCTGCATTGCATGGGAAAGGCGTTTTCTTGTCGGGGTTTTCTTTTTCATTATTCTTTTGCTGCATTTTTAGAGGGTTGTGGAGAAGGGGGGAGGGGGGACAGATTGGTATAGGGGGATATGGAAATATGGAAATATGGAAATATGGAAATATGGCCATGGGTAGGAGGGAGATTGGATGGGGATGTAGATGTGGGAATGTGAGGGTTTTGTGATGTGTCTGTGCTGTGCTGTGTTCTCCTCTGCGATGTTCTCCCGTGCTATACTTGGGCCTATCTACTATGATTCAACTCACGTCTGGCAGTATATAATCTACACCCCCTTTTCGCAGAACAAGATTACCGTATACAACACATCACACAACACCTATCTCTCACCCGCCGTGGGTAGATTATTTATGATTCTTTTGAGGGATAGGATAGTCTGTCCGCTTATGAGTATTATATCACTCTATACTCTTAGCTTACAGGCGTGTTATATTCTATTACACTCCTACCTGCCACACTTGTATTACACTTCTATCCTAACCCCCCTCGTCTTGTCTCGTCTTGCGTATCGCAGAGCCTGGACATACGCATATCTCGCTCGACTCGCTGCATTTTCAACGTACGTGGGCGGATACTGGATTCTAGATTCCAAGGACTTGGTGGGCTTCATTTGGGTGGTTGCATGCTCCGGTGGTTTGTACAAACATACTCCCTGCGTTCTTGCTCGGCTTGGGGGGTGGAGTGTGTGTGGGCGGGTTTGGGATGGGGGATGGGATGGAGTTGATTCGTGTTGATGGGATATGGCTCTTCAGGAGACAAAATTAGGCACATCTTTTGAATCTACAAGTACATGTTTCCGGTTGTGGAATCCGCGGTATCCACAATACCAAGGGGCTGCCGACGATCCATCATCGCAGGCCCATGGCAAATCTTATTCTTCCCATTTTGAGAGCCGCAGATTGAGTTGCTTTGCCGGCCCCCTGGCGGGCTATGGCTTCCAGCTCTTTTTGCTGTGTCCCCATCATCTCTTCGTAGCGTTCTCTAATGTCTCGAAGATGGTCGTCAATGGTGTCTGCGACTTTCTCCTTGAGTGCGCGCATGCTGACGTCTTTCATCTCCTTGGCCAGCTCCTCGGGTGACGGAGCCACGGATTCGTCCATGTAGTACATCATGTCGAGCAAGTTGGAAACGCCTGGTCTTGCTTGGCGGTCGTAGCTCACTCCTTCGATGCTGTCGGTCATTGCCGTCTTCAGTTTTGCGTGGATGTCGTCACGGGAGTCGGTGATGAGGATTCTGCTCTTGGGGTTTGGTGCGCTCTTGCTCATCTTCTTGCTGGGTTCGGTTAGGCTCATGATGCGTTTGGCGGGGCTGAGTATCGTCTCTGGGACGTTGAGGAGTGGGCCGTATTTGGATGTGTAGAGGTGGTTGAAGCCTATGGCGAGGTCACGGGTGAATTCCAGGTGTTGGGCCTGGTCTTCGCCGACTGGAACATGGGTGGTGTTGTAGAGGAGAATGTCGGCGGCTTGCAGGACCGGATAGGAGAAGAGAGCTAGTTTGAGGGCTTCCTTGTTGGATGGGCTTGGGGCGGTAGGGGAAGCGTCGGACGGGAGAGCCAGCTTGCTCTGGGGGTTTTTATTAGCACATGTAGAGAGATGGTGTAGGCTGCATGCAACTGGTATACCTTCCACTGTGTCATGCGCCCCAGATAGCCCATGCTCGCACCACAGCTCAACAACCACATGAATTCACTGTGGGCGGGCACAGCGCTCTGGTAGAAAACCGTGCTCTTGCTGGGGTCCAAGCCGACAGCGAGAAGACTGGCAAACATTTCTTTCCGCCATCTCCCCAGCTCAACTGGATCTTGCTTGACGGTGATTGCGTGCAAGTCTACAATGGAAAAGAACCGACGGGCATCGGGCTGGTCGTCTTGCAGTTTGACCCATTGCCGCAAGGCGCCCAGATAATTTCCTAGATGGGGTACGCCTGTAGGTTGGATGCCAGAAAAGATGATTGTTTTGGGATTGGCAGCATGCAAACGAGCCCGCACTCGTCCCGCATTCTGCAGCGTGCGCGAGGAGATCATTGAAGTTGGGCTCGTGGTAGTCCTATTCGTAGTGCGCCATTGTACCCATCGCTACCGACTGCCTCCTTGTCTCGGCTCTGGGCGGTGAAGGGCAAGTCAGCAGGTCACGTGGACTGCTCAGCCACCGAGGAAGGCGCGGTCGGGGACTTTGGTCTTCGTCATTGTGGCACTGCCGCCCGCCCGCCCCGCCGACAACCAAACCCAGCCAAGCAGCACACTCCCTTGCCTTTGCAACAAACAACACCACGTCTACTCTACTAGTCACCGTCACCTCACCCGCGATATCTCGAACATTGACTGCAATTCACACACGCACCCCCCCAGTTATCGATTTGAACACCCCGCACACACAGAGCAGCCATGTCGTGGACCGGTACGTAAGCTGGCTGACAAAGAATGCTACCCAGACGCCATGCGGAGACAGGAAAGCTCACGCTTTGCAGGCTTCAAAAAAGGCGTCAATCGCGCGACGACGCAGGTGCTCATGAAGACCGGACAGGTCGAGCGCACAAATGACCGCGACTTTGAGATTGAACAACGGTAGGCCTCCCCTTCACCCCGCCGCCTTCCCATCCGGAACAGATGCGATTCAGACACGACTGGATCCCCTGTCATGCATGGGCGGATAGATGGATAGATTCATAGGCAGAGCTTCATGAAGACTAACCCCTCCCGAGTGGTTACCGCACCAGGGAAACAGCCGCCAACAAGCTCCAGAAAGAAGCCAAGGGCTACCTCGACTCGCTGCGCGCCATGACGGCCTCACAAATGCGCATCGCCGAAACAATAGACGCCTTCTACGGCGACGCCGGCACCAAGGACGGTGTCTCACGCTCATACAAACAAGCCGTCACCGATCTCGACGCCGAGACGATAAAAGCCCTCGACGGCCCCTACCGCACCACCGTCCTCGACCCTATTCAGCGCTTCTGCTCCTACTTCCCCGACATCAACGCTTGCATAACCAAGCGCGAGCACAAGCAAATGGACTACGACCGCATGCGCGCCCAGGTCAAGAAACTCACCGATAAACCAGACAAGGATGTGACCAAGCTGCCGCGTGCTGAAAAGGACGAACAACTGGCCAAGGCCGCCTACGACCAGCTGAATGAGACGTTGACGACCGAATTACCCCAACTTATTGATTTGAGAGTGCCATATCTGGACCCAAGTTTTGAGGCGTTGGTCAAGATTCAGTTGCGGTTTTGCGCAGAGGCGTACTCGAGAATGGCTCAGGTGCAGCAGTATCTTGATGCAAATACAAGGGATCAATATGCACAGGGTGAGCTGGACGCGAGGGTTGAAGAAGTACTACAAGAGATACGAGATTTGAGCATTGCGGGCACTGTCTGAAGTTGTCATGTGGAGAAGACGTCGTTTTGAAATTCTTTTGATCACCTTTTATTAAGTTTGGGAGATTAGGCCGCAGCGAGTGGATCTTGCAGGTACTATAGAGGTAGTGGCTGTTGATTGCCGCTGCAGATCTATAGGTTCATTACAATTGTACTCCACATGGCCAATGATTACATTTTGACAACTTTGTTCCACCAAATTCGACCTGCACTAAGACAGGAGGCGGAGCCAGCAATTTCTACAACTACGGCCAAATACGTTACATCCTCCAACCAAATTCTTGTCCATATTTCCTCCGCCTCCTCTTCTGCATCCCACTGCGCATGGCCCAAGTACTTTGTTCACAAAGTGCTACGGTTGTATTCACAAGCGAACAAGAATCATCGGAATATCTACAGGGAGACCACTAAGTTCATTACTGTCTTCTTGTGCACGTTGTGCCTAAACTATAGCGACTGTGCCAGTAGACAGAATCTTCTTGGTACTTACATCGCTGCAGGGAACGGGCAAGTCAAGAGAGATGGAAGATCAATGTCTGCAATACACAGTATAGAGTTCTACTTATACCAGTCCCTATGGTGTACGATCAAATTCATCTTTTCTGAGCTATCAAGCTGAAAGGTTCTATATCACAGTCGATGTTTTTCCCACATCATGTCGATAACTGCATGAATATGGAAAGCTAGTAGCAAATTGCTTTCAGATTCGGCGATACAAAATCGCACCCATGCCCATTCCCTTTGCACGGCCGGTCCTGAATTGGTTAGCATCATGCCTTGTGTACCTATGACTCTAGCGACTGTGTAGGTATGGCAGATAAGAAGCGCTTACATCAAAGCAGACAGATGTTTGAACAGCTACATAGCCCTTGGTTGTGGTAGTATGAACACATTCGCCAGGCGAATTGCTAGAAACCTTGCACTGCTCAATCTTGTTAGCTTGCTGCATAGGTATATATAAGAGGTAGGTAAAGTTTGAACATACACTGTTGGAAGCAGTGCAAGCACTGGAAAGGAAAAGAAGGATAAAGCTCGTGGCAGGTTTCATGACGGGTAGATTTTGCAGGAGACCGGGAGTGAAGCGTGGAACGACACAGGCACGAGGGACGTCCGAAAGGGGTCCGATACGACTCAAGGCAAATAGGAGTGCGCGTCTGTATGGAGATTGAATGAATCGATCCTGATACCTATAGGTCTAGTACGAAAGTACAAGAAGAACTTGCCTATCTATCTATGAGCGTAAGGCTCCTTTTATATAGTGGAGGCAGAGGGCTTGGCTAGGGCACGCGGACCTGAGTCGGGACCGTATCCACTGTGAGGCTGCCTTTTGAATGCTCTGGTCTAAGATGAAACGAGGGTTGCACTCGTTACAAAGAGCAATGTTAATCATGCAGGGAACGAAGACGTGCTCGCATACTAGTAAGCCTACAGTGTCAGGGCCTGCTTAGGTGCTCAGCGTGAATTTCAGTATCTTCAGCAGCTGAGTGGCTCCAAAGCTTCCCGCAGGCGGTGCTACGGCTTTTCACTGAATCAATCTCCTATTTGATACGGAGGTGGCTTTCAAAAGTTCTTGCTAGCGTATTTGTTAGCGGCTGATCTATCAGCCCGACTTTCTTGGCCCACACACACTCAATTTTGAAGCTGTAGATAGTAGTAGTAATAGTCTATCTACTTAATCTTTTAGTGTTTTTACTCTGCTATAGCTCCTAATACTAATCCTTTACATGCCTACTATGCCTAACAACTAGTATATAAGAGAGAGGGAGTAGAGAAGCTTCTCTAGTGTGGCAATTCACCCGACCTTAACGCTATTAAAGTAGCCTGGCCATAGCTTAAGCGGAGAACTACTAGGAAGGGCGCTCTTAAGAGTAGAGCAGAGGGTAAGCTACCTTAACACTAAATCCAGGCTTGGATAGAGCGTATACAGTATTATGTTTAGTAGATTATTAGACTAGAAGGTGGTAATAAGCATAAGGAGGGGCGGCGCGACTAAGTAGTCTAAGCTTCGGTAGTATCACGGCGGTAATATCGACACCCCTGTCAGCAAGAACTTTTGAAAGCCACCTCCGTACTATTTTGAAATATGCGACTGTGTTTGCCCACCAAGACTTTCCACGCTAGGCACCGACCATGTTTGAGCAGTTCATCTCGGCATTGATAGACTGTGTTATTCTCTATGTGTGTAAGCAAAGGTAAAATTAGAATGTACAAGAGCAGTGCCAGAGTTCGAGACGCCGATATGAAAGTGGCGGGATAGTTATTGGGCGACTCGGAGATACTGTAATTCTATGGACAAGTCTACTTTAGATGGTCATGGTCATAGCTCGCCATGTTCCGTATTACGGCCGATATTCCGTTGTTTGATCATCAAATAAATGGGCTATGCTGTACAATATGGGAGGGACCGATTATGCATGTCGGTAGGTATAACTCACGAATTACCACACTGAGAATGCGACCTGACGTGCCTGTTACGGACTGGTAGGTCCTACCTTACCAGGCTTTGTACTAGGACTACCTTTCATAGTAGGGCTGAGCTCAGGGGTTATTACCAACATTCTATGTAAGCTCATCACGCTAGTCAATCAATCAAAAACGCACCACAAAGACCCACTGCTGTGGCGTTCCAGTTGCCCATGACGTGAGTGTTGTGAGGTCTTTCGACGAGGAAAACCGATAACTTTCAAGCAAGAGTGTGCTGTGCGAGGTACATTTTAGAAGTGATAGTGACGGGAATGCGAGGTGCGGAGGTAGGCCCTTACCGGTAGGTGTGATTTCGGACTCATCCGATCTTGTCTACATCCAAGGACCGCGGACAAGGGTTGTAGCACTGTTCTCTCCGTTTCTGCTCGGCGCAACCTGTTTAACGTCGATTCGTACATATTTCTCTAACCATAAGACTTTTGTGCTTAGGCAGTCATCGACATGGTACCATACCATAGGAAGAGGGCGCAGTTCATATGACCATGGAATTAGCGCTGCGTGAACTCGTATTCGGCATGGGGTTAGGCCGTGCCAAGCTCCACTAGCTAGCTAAGCGAGGTTAACTAAATATTATGCTATAAGATTTTGCAACGTATTGCCCGACGCTAAACCCATGGTCATATGACATGCCACCACAAGAAATACCGTAAGAAGTCATACGCCCATACCCATGGTATGGCAAGTGATAATTGTGCAGGTAATTGAAGAAGACTGAAGCAACTCAAGAGTTCCCATGAGGGGTCTCATGAGAGGACAAAGTTTGATGAATTATTTCGCAGATGCTAATGCTCTGGTACTATACCTTCGTAACGTCAATGATTGTGTCCACCCGAACAACCATAGCCTACCAGGAACTGGCGCACTATCTACGTAATCGAGCCCTTGGATATCACTTCACTAAGCGCTTGACCTCCATGGCAACAATTGAGCTTGTAACATGTCAAAAAGTCGTCCAGGATGGTGCTATAGTATTTGGTGGCAGCATTGTAATGCTTGTACTGTCCTTTGGAACTGCCAAGGGCTCCGCCATTCAACCACGGCCGATTGCCGTATCAGGCAAAAAAATAATGTAGATTGACAATCGGATGCTCCCATGCTTTCTGCTGGTGTGTTCTTTGCCAAGGACACTGATGCAATTCTAGATTTGAGACGAAGCATCCATGGGCATCGATTTGCATGCGCTAATCTGGTTGGTCGATCAGCAGAGGAAATTTCTACCAACGTCATGTCTACACATCAACTTCATCAGTCTCGCTTGGCAACTCCTCGCACTGGTTTACACTCTGCCTCCATACGTTGTGTGTTTCTGTAAGATATACTATATTTCTTGGCACACCTCCAATCTCAGCATATAAGCTGCTCGATTCCCTTGCTGACGGCATGTATCTCATTGAGGATCTATACAGAACTCATCAAATCACCGAATACCCCACAAACGCTTGTTCAAGTGCCGCAACATCACCCAGGAACCTCGGTCGCCCACAACAACATCAATATGACTGATGAGCCGTGGGTCCTTACAACATATCTGCTTAGCGTCAATCATCAACAATTCATTCGTGCAACACGCCACCCCTTCTTAGCCCGCGCTGCCAACGGTACATTAACAAAGCCCGTCATTGCACGTTGGCTTGCCAACGATCGACAGTATCTTCAGGGGTACATCTCTACCAGCAAGAACACTCTGGACCTGCTCAATAGCCAGAGGAAGTCGACAAGAGCGGCAGAAGGGGGGTCAGATATCGAAACGAGACTAATCGCATGGTTAGAGTCAGCGGTACAAAATGGCGAAAGAGAAATTCGTTTGTTCCAAGAAGTTAGTGACGCCTACAAGATCGATATTCCTAGCTATCCAGTGACGGACGAAGTGAAGCTCGAGGGACTGCGCCGTTACGAGACCCTGTTCGACACAGTCGCATCACAACCGCCCAATGCCTTCATACCGTGGTTGGAAGGTGCTGTACTTTTGTGGGCGACTGAAAAGGCCTATTACGCTTCATTCTCATGGGCTCGACGACAAGATACACATTCGTCACCAAAGGACTACAGCAATGACCAAGACGGTGGTGCAATGAGGCGCGAGTTCATTCCAAACTGGTCGAATCGTGACTTTCTCATGTTCGTCGAACAGCTTGAGCGCATTGTGAATGAGGGTGTCACCGAGGCGGTGAACCGCGACGAATCGAAGTGGGCGGAGGTCAAACAAAGAGCTGGCGTAATTTGGCAAGCGGTATTGGATGCGGAAGAGGCATTCTGGCCAGACGTAGAGAATGGAGGGAAGTAGTTGGTTGAAGAATCCAGACCACTGAATAACAATTTTTTGCAGACATAACAACGACAAGGAGATCGCAAGAATTATCAAGTGGAATGACCATATTTCCCTGGTGCACACCTGGCACAGTAATATAATCCCAACAGACTGAGGTGGAGTCATTGATGGCGGTGTTCCAATAGGAATCTAGCAGAGCCCTGGGATGAATGGTCGATAGAGTCAGCCCCATGAATGAATGAATCTGACATTGTTTGGCAACTCATCCGCGTTAAAATCTTGCTGTGCAGGTACTTTAGATATGTCTACCTTAGGTTTATGATTGTTTATGACTCTACTACATCACAAGTAGTAATAACTATTCTCATTGCCTACAACTCTAACAGCATTCTGCAGCAGCTACTAAAGTCTCACCAAATTCACTATTGGCGCGCGCTTTTCGATGTCTACGCTGAATTCATACTGGTAGGGCAAGCTAAGAAATATTGGAGATATCTACGTGTTCCCAGAGACATGCAATACCCCTAGATTCCGTGATGTTCAATGACTTGAAGGTACCGATATAAGAATGATCGCTCTTGCATTTTACAACCAGCTCTCTGCCCACGGGGTTTCAGTTGGCACAAGCTGAAATTGATACTGCCTATGGTCACAACTGCTTCTCATTCATATTGAATGTCATGCAGTGATCCGAATGCAAGAGACTAACAATATACACGTCGACAATTCATATCGCTGCTACCGTGCTATGGTATGGAAATGGTACCGTGACATGTGAGCAGGAGCATTTCATTATTCTTGTAGAGATCAACGCCTGTTTTACCATTTCATTGGTTCATAAATTTAACATATTGAATGTGCGACAATACTTCCCATGTGATGAGTAAATGCATGAAACAATTGAAAAGCTCCAGAATCACGTGGGCTCTGAGTGGCGCTAAGCTCAACTTTGGCGACATGGACCGTGCAGACGCTAGCTTCAGCTTCTTGCGAAATTCTCAAGAGTTCGAGCTTCTTTCCCAGCATCGCAATTGCAACCCCAAGAACACACGACAATCCTCGCTATGGCTCTCGTGCAGACCGATCCCGACGCGTACGTCATCAAGCCAGCGGCTTCTGCGCCTGCCATCGACACCAGCGACTGGCCGCTCCTGCTCAAAAACTATAGCGACCGTATGCTATAGCTTTTCACCTAGCTTTAGGATACCCAGCTGATGCGCAAAATAGTCCTCGTCCGCACATCGCACTACACCCCCATTCCCAACGGTTGTGCGCCTTTGTCACGAGACCTCAAGTCGTACATCAGCTCTGGTGTCATCAATCTTGACAAGCCCTCCAACCCGTCCAGCCACGAAGTTGTATCATGGATCAAGCGAATGCTGAGGTACGAGCAACTATTGCCTGTCTATCTAAGAGACCATGAGACTAATTGCTTGCAGGGTTGAGAAGACTGGACACAGCGGTACCCTAGATCCCAAGGTTACTGGTTGTCTCATCGTCTGCATCGACCGCGCGACCCGTCTTGTCAAGTCTCAGCAGGGAGCTGGAAAGGAGTATGTCTGTGTCATTCGCCTGCATGACAAGCTTCCCGGAGGCGAGGCTCAATTTGCGCGTGCTCTCGAGACACTGACCGGAGCGCTTTTCCAACGTCCACCGCTAATTTCGGCCGTCAAGCGCCAGCTGCGTATCCGTACCATCCACGAGAGCAAGCTATACGAGTTCGACAACGAGAGGCAACTGGGGGTGTTCTGGGTGAGCTGCGAAGCTGGAACCTATATCCGTACGCTCTGCGTACACCTCGGTCTTCTGCTCGGTGTAGGTGCCCACATGCAGGAACTTCGTCGTGTCAGGAGTGGAGCCATGGACGAGACCAAGGATCTGGTTACACTACACGATGTTCTTGACGCACAATGGCTGCATGACAACAACCGCGATGAATCTTACTTGCGCAAAGTCATTGCCCCTCTCGAGAGTCTGTTGATGAGCTACAAGCGCATTGTTGTTAAGGACAGTTCAGTCAACGCAATCTGTTACGGTGCAAAGCTGATGCTTCCCGGTCTTTTGCGGTTCGAAAAGGGCATTGAGATCCATGAGGAGGTAGTCCTGATGACCACCAAGGGTGAGGCTATTGCACTGGCCTACGCGCAGATGTCAGCTGTTGAAATGTCTTCGTGTGACCATGGTGTCGTCGCAAAGATCAAGCGTGTCATCATGGAGCGTGACCTTTACCCCAGGAGGTGGGGCATGGGCCCTGTTGCGACTGAAAAGAAGAAGATGAAGGAGGCCGGTACACTCGACGTAAGTAATGTGTTCAATGCAGTAACCGAGGGCTCGACGCTAACAGTCGCTAGAAATTTGGGCGTCCTAATGAGAAGACACCTGCCAAGTGGAACACCGAGTACAAGGACTTCAATAGGACCGACGTCGACGGGGTTTCTGCACCCGTCGCTGAGACCACGTCTGCAGCCGATGTTCTTGCTGCTCCTGCAGTCGCACCGACAGGAGAAGATGCGGAATGTATGGAGGTTGACAGCAAGAGCAAGAGCAAGAAGCGCAAGAGTCGTGGCGAGGATGAGGAGGATGCTGAGGAGAAGGCTGAGCGTAAAAAGAAGAAGAAGGAGGAGAAAGCCGCGAAGAAGGCAGCGAAAAAGGACAAGAAGAAGGCCAAGGACAGTGACTCGGACTCGGACTGAGTGTTCTAAAAGTACGGATACCCACATAATCGGCGACCGTCAGTCAATCACTGTTGATTGTACTTTCGATCCATTGTACACCGGACATCGTGTACATGTAACAGCTACTATTCTCTTGTTGGATACCTGCTCTTCATTGTAGCATATGAAAAGCGTACGGAAATGGCGTTAGGGACAGGCATTCTGGAGTTTGGCGTGTCGATATTCTTGCGGCAGCAGTGGACGATGCTGTGTTATGAATGCGCGGTAGCTCGTCGCTATACTTGCAATGCAAAATCAAAAAGTTCACGCTTTATCCCTGTCTTGATCGTGTCCCTATTATCTAGTTGGTACGTTCACCATTCGTGCCTACTACTGTGATACAAGCTTTCGTCGCAAGGTAAGTGGTGGAAGCTTCTAGAAGGTTCTTTGAACCACCATCCCGAGAGCCCGACGTCAATAGTGGTCAAAGCGCCTCGGTGGGTGGAGAGACATGGAACCTGAGCGATAAAAGCAACTGCACACTTATGCACCCACGAGGACGACTGATAAATCTCACCACGCGAACAGTAAAGAGCCTTAATATATATTGCTAGACATCAAAATGGTCAAGGAGACCAAGCTTTACGATTACCTAGGTATGCTTGCCCTCGGTATACCCCTCCTCAGCCATGCTCTGTTGAAGCATGAGTGGCACGCGGGTAGCTACGTACCTGTACGGCATGCTTACTGACAGCCTCTCACAGGCATATCACCCACGGCGACGCAAGATGAGATCAAGAAAGCATATCGCAAGGCAGCGCTAAAGTGGCATCCGGACAAGAACAAGGACAATCCACAGGCGTCTGAGAAGTTCAAAGGTGCGTACAGAAGACCTCACCATTTTAATTGCTCATGTGCACTAACCACCGTTCTAGAATGCTCCCAGGCGTACGAAATCCTCTCCGACCCCGAAAAGCGCAAGACGTACGATCAATACGGCCTGGAATTCTTGCTACGTGGCGGCGTACCACAGCCTGAAGGAGATGCAGGGTCTGGAGGCATGCCTTTTGGAGGCGGAGGCGGGGGATTTCCCTTTGCCCAGTCAGGTGGCATGCCTGGCGGCACTCGCTCATTCCATTTCTCAACCAGTGGTGGCGGCAACGGCTTCAACTTCTCAAACGCCGATGACATATTCTCCGAGTTCTTGCGTAGTAGTGGAGGGGGTATGGGTATGAATGGTGGCGCAGACGATGACTTTGGCGGATTTGGCATGGGAGGTATGCCTGGCGGTATGCCTGGTGGGATGGGTGGGATGGGTGGAATGGGTGGAATGGGAGGAAAACGCAGCAGGTTCTCTGGTGGAAGAAGAGCGCCAGAGCCAGAAGTTACGATTGTGGAAAAGCCACTGCCTGTGAGCTTGGAAGAGCTATACAGCGGTACAACAAAGAAGCTGAAGATCAAGCGTAAGACGTATGATCAAAGCACAGGAAAGCAGAGTACGCAGGATCGGATTCTGGAAGTCCCGATCAAGCAAGGATTGAAAGCGGGAAGCAAGATCAAGTTTTCAGATGTTGGTGATCAGGTCGAGGGCGGGACTCAGGATCTGCATTTCATCGTCTCTGAGGTAAGACGCCTCCCTGCTCCGTTACAACCAAAGAGCCAATACTGACAGCATGACAGAAACCACACGCCATGTTCGTGCGCGAAGGCGATGATGTAAAGCACATCATCGAACTTGATCTCAAAGAAGCCCTTACGGGCTGGCGACGCACAGTACAGACTATCGACGGCAAGCAACTCAGCGTTGGCAGCGGTGGTCCTACCGGACCAAATTGGACCGAACGATATCCCAACCTGGGTATGCCTAAGTCGAAGAAACCTTCGGAGAGAGGCGATTTCATCATTGGCGTCAAGATTAAGTTCCCCACTAGTTTGACGAGCACGCAGAGGGAGCAGTTGAAGAAGATTCTGTAAGGACCACGCAAGGACATATTTCATTTCACGTACATACATCTATTTAACCTTCACGGTATATTGGAGGCTCTCACCAAGTTCAAAGCACGCGAATGGTGTTGGTGGAGTTCTGATGCTTTAATCTGAGAATTGGACGGAAGTGGGGAGGGGCAAGGACAGGAGAAACGGCGAAAGAGGCTATACAAAGAGGATGGTCGGCCGACACAGCGATGAGTAGATGATGTCAACGATAGACGAATTTATGAATAGTATTGGATACCTGTGCCAAAAAAAAAGGCCCCCTCTTCTCGAGAAATCTACACTGTATAGTGCATGGATCGTAGATTGATCTAGAAAGCAGTCTTCAGGAGATCGCCCATGTGACAGGGTAGTGATGTCATGTCATCGATCAGACGAGAGGGCAGCCTCGGATCTAGCACAGCACCATGTCCACGACTTATTAACAACACCGAAGAGTCCGGCGACATCGCGTATTTCTGTGCAGCTATTTTAGCGACATTGAGACGCCAGGGTCACTGCACATGACGTTGTCTGCGATTCTGTGGAATATCTTTTCTCTTTTTTGTGATGTCAGAATGGACATGTTTTTCGAAGACCTAACAAAGTAATGTGAGATCGTTTTTTTTGTGTCATGTGTACATAGCCCAGCATTCATAGCATGTTTTGTAGAAGATACGGTAATCAAAAGGGGCCAGTAACCTACCGGTATGTCAAGCAAATATGTCATGTGAGGTTAAAAGTGTTCTGCGTTGAACAAGTGTAACGCCAACGATAACTATATGATTGGAGCGCTACTTAGTAAATTTCAGCGCAATGCCGTGCTTACACCAGTACTGGTCACTGCAGTTTCAAAGCATGCTACTTTATTCGACGCAAAACTCGCAGATGAGTAAAAAATGCCAAAAGGGATAGCTTCTTCGCTTTCGAAAGACCCTTTGTAACGGGAAGCGTTGGTTGAAGAAGATAATCGCTTGGCGCAGAGAGCTGTTGTTGCAGGCGTGGCCGCACATGCTCGAGAAGTACCGTCTAGACTTTCCCGCATGTATCACTACTTTCAAAGAAGCTTTGTTGGATAATAAACAGTCTCAAGTACCGCTGGACGCCTGTATGTTGGTCGTACATCAATTTGAAGGCCTCGCAAAGCCAAGGTGCCTGCCGATGTTCTCAACTTTACAGCTGCAATATTCCCATGGAGTTGAACACATCTGGATTTCGGATGGATAACTGGGGTTTCACTGTTCGGACCAGAGCCTAAAATTCATGTGATGAATCGTCGAAATATCGAAATATCTCCTGGCGGCTACCGATGAGATCGGCCGGCACTTGACAATTGCATGCATCAAAGTCTGTCAAAATCACATAAAAGTGTTTCTCGCCCGCTGTTCTGAGGGGTTTATCCTTGACATGACCGGCCGAGACATATTCTGCAAAAAGGCTATCATGAGTGAGCCGTAGGCGCAACGCGAAGACCTGTCATACCTACCTGAGGAGATGCATGATGTCCTAGATGATTACATACACATGGTCCAGATATTTTTTCCATGTCTCCTTATCTTAAATAGTCTAACTTCATGGACTTGATTGTGATTGAAATCATGTTTGAGGATGTTGGCTTGTTCCATTTGCTGGATGCGATGGTCGCATTAGTTCACATGTACATCAAGCCCTTTGCCGACCGCTGGACAAAGCCGGACGCTGTCGAGAACTACCTGCTCGATATGGAAGAGGCGCTGAATCCTGGGAGCAGGCCGACTCGGGTGACGCCAGCAGATCGTGCCCGGAAGCACAAGGTGTCCGCCGAGCACGACACCTTGGGTCAGGAAAGGGAGGCCAAAAGGCCAAACAGGAGTGAGGCGTAGAGAGGGGGGAGTTTGGCGTTCTTTCGTGGTTTTTTTCGGAGTATGGGTGTTGGAAATTTTCGCTTTGGTTTTGGACTTGATTTTTGGATGACGATTCGCGTATCACTGCGTTCGTCTGGGCTTATATAACGTCTACGGACGAGGAACGAGACTGGTTGTGCACTGAAGCATCAAGCCGGAGTACAGGCTGTGCGGCAGATATATGATACCCATTGAACTTTTGACACTGTATAAGAACAATTGCCACAAAAATGACCGTGCAATACATGTTGTGGCCGCTTCGACTGAAATGTAAGAAGAGTTGAGTCGAGTGAATAGTTTTGATTAGTGTCTAATACTTGCCTGACCTATGTCAACCAACACAAGAAGTACAACTGAGATGCTCTTGTAACTGAATTCCCAAAGTCTCGCTATCTACCAACAGAAGTGCGCGTCCCACTCTAGCCATCAAAGTCATGCAACCATTAGCCCTCTAAAACAGTACGATGAACCACTCCATCGAGCTGAAGGAGTGCAGGAAGCTCTTGTCCATCAAGATCATCAATCTCCGACTGCGCCCGGTCCCAATCCGCAAAGCCATCCTCGTCCTCACTATCACTAGAATAGTCCACAGGCCCTGTAACACCATCCCACGGCGCGCTGCCGGGAGTCTTTGACCACGCCCAGAGACCCTGCACATGAGTGCAAATTGTCCGTCGGCCAATATATGGGTCCAACAGCCCTCCTTCGTTATCATCCTGGGGCTGACCAACCTTGGAAAGATGGTAGAAGCGCGCTACTCGCTCGCAGAAAGCAGAATCAAGTGGCATGGTGTTTGTTGTCTCGCCGAAGAAGATGGGTCGTTCGAGAAGACGCAATACCCGTGCTACATCTTCTCTATCGTAGACTTTCAGAGGCTGGAAGCGGAGATTGTATTCGTAGTCGTGAGCCAAGAGTATGAGCAAGAGGTATAAACGCGACACTGGAGTCCTCCAGTCCGGATGGTGCGAGACGGAGTAGCGGCTGGAGCCAGCCTTCAAAAGGTCATCATCAATGTCCTGTAGAGCAGTTGCCATGGAGGTAGTCGGATTGCGAATCTGGAACATGATCAAGGCACGCAGGAGGATCGAGTTGGGATTCTGCAGACTGGGTAGGAGTCTGGCGACGCGAATGAAGTTGCGACAAAGCACATCGAACGGACAAGTCTCAGGTGTAGAGGCTGGGAAAAGCTCCAGGATGCTGCGCTCGTAAGGAAAATGGATGTATAGGTCGAGTATGACGATGTCATGACTACTATGGGTACCTCCCGCTGATTCATCAATCTGCGTCAGGTTGAGTACGAGCGCTCGAATACCTCTTGACCACGCATTCTGTAGATGTTCGCGTGCCAGTAGACCATATTCCTGGCGGACGTTACGCCATAACGACATCAGGATCCCATGTGGATCACAGAGGTCTAACAGTCGTAAAACACGGCCTTGCGCAAAACGGACTTGGCGGCCACTCTCTACAAAATCTTCCCGCATTTCTTCCAGAGCTTCCGATTCAATCTTTTCAGGGTTGTTGAACAGTACTCCCCGGCAGTGTGGACATGTGCCCGTTGCGTCAGACTGCTGTAGCCACTTCTCCAGACAGATTCTGCCGAACTCATGTCCACATCCGCGAATCCTGATGGCCGTATGGGTGAAGTTGTACGGTTCGTAACAAATGGAGCACTGAGCAGGCTCGATGCCGTGTGCAAGAAATTCTTTCAGTGTGCGAGGCACAGGAGGAGTCTGAGCCATTGGAGGAGGGCGGGTCGCTGAGGTGGGCGGCAGAAAATGGTCGTGTGTTTCGGGTTGTTAGGAATCGCCTAGATCAATGAATAGATCTCAGATGATGGTAGTCAACGTTAAAGTCATTGGAAATGATTATATACAGTGAAGGAGGGTGAGACCTCGGGTCTTGGCAGCTGCTAGCGCGTCTTGCGGTTGCAGGAGGGTAGTGAAAACGCGCAAGGTAACATTGAATGGGAGAGAACTTCGCTGATGCTGAAAGAAAAATGCGCCATTAAACCCCGCAACGCAATATGTTCATATGAACCTTCGGCATTCATTCGCCATCTGAGTTTGCATGGCCAGTTGGACCCTGAGAAGTGTCTGTTGTTATACGTCAGCATCGTCAGGATTTTCGCAAGCCTAACGTTGACCTACAATCCATTGTTACAAACGCACGGTCTACTTCATTCAGACCTTCGAGACAATACTGGAGTGTCTCTGCAACGTCGTGACACCTTCTAAGCGGCGTATTCTCCGGCATAAGCACGTCGATCTCCACACAAACGCCGTCGCCCGCATGATAACACTTGATGCTCTTGAAACCTCCTACGAGCGGCGCGAACCGGTAAGCCATGAACATCATCTTCCTTTCTATGCGATCACTCGCCGCCTCGCCAGTGAGACGGGTAACATTCTCGAGACATGTACCAGCCCAATCGTAGATGATGAACAGTGAGAGAATCGAGGCACCAACAGGATCAAGCCACCAAACGTTTGCTTGGTGTCCTATAAGCGGAAAGAGAAGTGATAGGGTATTGAAGTAGACGTCTGCTTGTATTAGCGGTGCAGATGGCAGTTATCGACTCGATATGACCACTCACCAGTTTTGCAATCTTGTGCTAAGGCCTGCACTTGTGTCGTCTTGACCCTAGCACAACCTATCCAGATGATTCCTTTGACGACTATGGTTGCTACCATAGCAAATATGGCGGCTGGTGGCAATGTTGCCACTTTATGCTCTCCGTCCGGAAGAAGCTTCTTGACCGATTCTTGTAAGATCTGGAGGAAGGAAATGACCATTATGATAGAGAAAACCAATATACCTAGCGGCTCCAGCCGTCTTCGACCGATGGGGAACTTCTTCTTCAGGCTGGTAAGGCGCCATCCCACAAGTCTGTTGGTAACCCAGATGATGACGGTACATAGGAGATCCAAAGCAGAGTCCACCAGGGAAGCGATCAGAGACAGAGAGCTGGAGAAGAGAGCAGCTACGCCCTTGGCTGCGAGTAGAAAAATGTTTACGACGACATTGATCTACACTGAATCAGTAGACATACTTTTGGCATGATTATCTTGCTTACGTTGATGGCCCACTTTACATGCTTGGACGACTTTCTGCGTTTCTCTCGTTCGTCTTCCGGTAGAAACGGCTCGAGGTTCTCTCCACTGGTACCTAGTGGTCCACGATCTTCTGCCACCCCATCATTGTCAGTGTCCCGAGGGTGCATGCTGTCAACAATGTCGTCGGCGAGCGAGGAAACCACCATGTCGACCTCGAGCCAATCATCGATACGACTATTCTGCTCTTCGTAGAACTGTCGCACTTTTTTATTTTTGATGCATTTTAACTAGGACTTGTATCAGTTTCTGACCCCCTTTAGATGTTTCGAATGACCTTACACTCTCATCACTCTTGCGATAAATTTCCAATGCACCGTGGTCGACATTGTCAATCAGTTTTTTCTTCATGTCCGCAGCCCGATTGGCTTGCAGCGTCTGCTCAATCGCATCCCGGAATCTCTGCCGTGAATCTCGGATAGGGTTGATGGTTCCATAGCCGCTCTCTAGATCGACGCGTTTATACTTGGTGTATTCGTCGCCGTCGCGTTCTCCACTGAGACTGTTGTTTGATCCATTTCTCAAGAGGCTTCGACGGGTCCCAACCATGGTAATTAGATTTGCAAGGTATAGATGAAATGTCCAGGAAGGCCTGTCAGAAGAATTGATGGGGAAGAAGAGAGGAGAATGAAGGCTACTGGCAGACAAGGTCAAGCATCAGACGACGGTCCGAAGTCATGCCAGAGACGAGGACGTTGGAATAAGTAATAGCGCCATAGAGCGCATCATAAGATGGCGACATTAGACTTCTTGTGGCTAGTGTCCCGTCCGCGTCCCTGCATACGCTGGACAAGCTTTGTTGATGCTTGCATCGTCGGCCTTTGGAAGTTGAAACGAGGAATGACATCACTTGGGTTGGTTTCTGCGATCCCGTCTTTGCCGCAACTAGAGCGCGATGTGCGGTTAGATACTTGGCAGGCACCCTCGTAGGTAACAGAGGTTAAGAATATCAATTGAGAGATATAATACCTTCTATGGTATGCCTGGAATTTGGTTCGTTGTTCCTAGTCCGTTGCGATTGTGACTTAGTGTGGACGCCTCGTACCGTGGTTAGAATCAGGAGTGCTGACGTCAGGTGGAAATTCCATGTCCAATGCGTTGACCACGTCTCCATAAACCGTTGATATCTGAACTTGGTTACCGCATTTATACTTGCAAGGCATCTATTCCGAGCTGCTCAGTCTCCACTGTGGATTAGGTACACAGTACAATGCATTACTGAGTGCAAAAAAAAAACAATGAGTGTCGCAGGCTTGCTATCCTTTCACAAACCTACTGTGGATGTATCTGTCTCGACAACAACACCATCGGCTCACGGCACAAGTTACAGCTTCGCATTTAACATCGCCCACCATGCACTTGATCGGCACTGCCTTGCAATCCTGTCCGGGATGCGAGTATCAGGAGCTGTGAAACCTGCATACCAAGGTGGGTACTCTACGGCGCCATTCAGGCGTCTACCTAGCTGGCGACCAACGTCACAGACAAGTCTGCACATGCACATGCAGGCCCAAGTCAAACACCGCATCGACGCAGCTGTAGTGACTTCGACGTTATTCCCCAGAAACCACATTCGAAACTTGCAAGCTACGAGCAAGTGTCACTGTCAATAACCTGGTGTATCGCAATTACATAAGCAAATTTTTGTAACCTCGGGAAGGATGGCAGGCCTCAACGGTACCGGAACCGGGTAATGAGCTGTTGGAGTTTAGGCGGCCCAAAGCAAAGCCAACTTCGCGAGATCTCTGTCTAGGCGTGGACTTGGAACTGCACAAACATCTTCATACGATCTGTGTCCAAACGCTCAGAACAGCTACCATGGCACCTCCAGCCCCTTCCACCCGTCATCCACACAACGCGATAATCCTAGCCACCTTCGCGGTTCTTGCATCTGCTGGAGCATGGTTCATGCGTATCTCGCCCATCCTGAACGATGTCCCTGTTGGCTTCGCAGATATTTCCGAAACAGGCACGTTTCCCAATGGCATGCCCGTTAAGCAGCATTTCACTGGGGTAAAGCCCCTCGACGATGGCTTATCGTTTCTCGTCGCTGCGTTCATCTATGGTCCAACTGGTTGGAACGAAGCGCTGTATTGGCAGCAACTCCACTTCCTGTGCCAGATAGCGGGTATGATTGCCATTATGAATGTCGAGGCTTGTCGAGAGCGCAATCAGAGCAGTTGGCTGAAGTAGTAAGTTTCGCCCATACTCCTTGCACGTGACCTATATGCGATCACGGTGGGAGAGGCTGACCTCGAACCAGCACGGCTCTGTATGCGTTTCTGTACCAGAACATCGGTGCTTGTGTGATTGTTCCCATTTGGTGGATCCTTTTCCACCGACTATCCGCTACAAAATCATACTTTTCCCAGGGTCGGGCGGTGCCTTTGCCATATGCACGCCTCATCCTACCAGCCACAATCATACTCTACGTCCTCCCCACAATCGCAATGTTCATGCCAGGAAACGACCTAAACACTGTTCAAAACATCCTTGCTTTCTGGCAAGTTTCCCCAATCCTTGTCAATATCCCGCTCTGGCTTGCCGCGCCCTTCGTCTCGTCTCCGACCTCCACATCAACCACATCAAAGGCAAAAACTGCCGATCTCGCCCATCTTAAAGCAATCTACGGTTTCTTCTTCGTCACAAGCGTAGCAGTACATTGGTACACCATCTACGGCGTCTCGGTTTCTGAAAACCCCAGCGTGACATATGCCTCCGTGTGGGTGCCCAGTACCTACAAGTGGAAAAACGATCTATCCGCGGGCATACTGTACCTCTTCCAATGCGACTGGATTGTTACAGGATTGGTACATATGATACCCGCTTTCATCGCTGTGTGCGATGTACAGCGATTGCTCCATGGCACAGTCACTGGCGAACAGGTTATCGAAGCTGGAATGGCGGCGTTGTCGTTGACGTGGCTTGCGGGACCGGGTGCGGCGCTCGCTGCTGTTTGGTATTGGAGGGAGGGGAAGCTGGCGCTGATTGAAGCGAAGATGAGTGCTGGAGCTGTGAAGAAGGGCTTGTGAGTGTGAGGACAGAGACAGTGTGTACTTTTTGAATTATTGTTACTTGTGGCCATATGGAATTCAATACCCAAGAGGCTACATACGCTTTCAAGCAAGGTGGGAGGTAAACTGGATCCATGTCAAGGAATTTGCATATCCCTTCCAACACTGTTGTGACCCCTCACTATTTCAATTCAGGAGGCTTTGTTCACTAATTTGAGGAGAGTTGACTCTTACAGCCTATCA